TAAATAAATTGTTTTTATTTATATAATATTACAAAATTAGAGTTGGTCTGGTTTTCGTCCTCTTATGTAACGGACCGATCCATAAGTCAGTCCTTGGACCTGTCCTATATTTTACTGTAACGATAATGTCCGAAATTAAAATTTCGGAAATGGAGAAATAACGAGAGATTAAAAAGGAGCAGTTATGCAATTATTATTATTATTATACTTTTTATTAAATTTATACAATTATTTTATTAAATTGAATGTTATTTCTAAATCGATCCTTGGACCGTTCTTATAAATCGGTCTGGTTCGAGAAGGAAACAAATCTTGGACTGGACCGGTCTGGTAGGACCGAATGGTCAAGACCGGTTTGAAAGGATCTTGAACGTGCATTATTAATTCTGAAAGTTTTTTTTTTAAAAAAATAATATATAAAGCACTATGTTTTTTTCGGAAAAATTATCGTATTCTTAGTCGGTTACCACCTCTGTCCGAAACTTTTGAAAGTGAACATAAATGGCGCAAAATCCGGAAAAAAAAACATTCAGTCGCTGCGCCACGAAGTTATCTGTATAAATTGGTCGAGTTATTAACTTCACATTGTGACATGAAAAACTCGAGTGGATAATTATAATGATATTTTGTAATTATTAATGATATCAAGTTAAAAAAAAGCTATTGCGAAAGAAGTTAAGGCTTATATATTATAAATCAGAATATTATCGAACCAAAAAAACGACAATTGCTGCGACCCGCAACGATCCAACACAAAGAAATCGTACAAAAAAATAAAAAATAAAAAAAGAGGTTCAGAGAACAAAATAATAATAATAATATATAAAAAGTTTCACAGCAGATAGGGATGTATAGTCGTGCTGGAACCGATTTTAGATTCTGAATTTACCTGAGTTACAAACAATTTTATCATTTTAAAATCAAATCGGATCCGGCTCCGGACTAGGCAAAAAGAGTCTGCTCAAAATCGTATCGATTCAAAATAAACGAATAAGAAAAGACCAATCGAACGGAAGGTCTTAACGGACAAATTATTAACCGAAAACTAAAATTGTATAAATTTAACTTAAAGTTCAAAGAATCGAAGCATAACCGAAGTGGAACTGGGTATGTAACGTCGCCTCTCTAGCTGTCTTTTCCAATTAGACATTGACAAAACTTTAGTATTGTGCAATATCACATTCAAATTATTTCTCGGATGCAAAAAAAAAATTTATTGTGAATTCTATATTATTAGCACCCATGTATAGGTAAATTTATAAACTTTGCCTTTTAAGAAATTCCTCACCTATTCACTCTCCTCGATGCATTAGAGGCATTCCTTTCCGAAAGAAAACATTTTTGTAGAAATGATTAAATTTGAGTAGTCACTGGATAACAAAATTTATATTTGCACGTTACACAAAATAAAATTTATTCTTCCAATAAACTAATGTTCTTTGGGACTTTAAATTCTTGTAATTAATATATATATATATTTTTTCTTTTACTTTTTCTTTTTTTAGCGATTTTCACAAAACTTATGATCAAAGAAAGTCGCTTGCCACAATAAATTCGATTAAAACTTCTATTTTAAAATTATTTGAATCGATTTTAATTCATGCACGTGATCATATAATTAAAAAAATTTTCTTTTGTTATATTATCATAATATATAAAATCACAAAAGATAATAAAAAATAATATTCATTGAATTTACGAATGACGCAGTAAAATGTATCAAGTTTCATAGTTTGAAAGTATATATAGCAAAATGGTAAAATACGAATTTACAAAATTTAAATTTACGAAACTTATCAAGCATCAAATGTTTCGTACCGTATACCTCTTTAATGCTTATCCTGTCCCTTTGACTATTCATTGTTGCTCTGGCTCTAACGCTAATGTGAATTTATAAAAGCAAAAAATTTAAGCCACATGTTTTTATTTTTTATTACTATCTGAATAAGAAAAAAAATTTTCAACCAAATAATTGTATATCTAATTTTAATTATAATAACTTATTCGAAAGTTTGTGTGTATAATGGTGATAACTGGATTGGAAACATAAATAGTTTAATGGATAAAAAACAACAATTTTTTTTCTTTTAACAATAATTATTTTTTCGTCTTTAATGAAATTTTTTTTTTTGAGTTTCATAGTGTTATTGGATCATTTTGGACATTAACTTACAGCGGAGCTCACAAAAATTACCAACTATTTGGGTTTAATTTAATTTTTAATTCTTTTTTTAATAAAATACATTTTTTTTGATATTTTGTGCAATGTAAAGCAGGTGAATCAAGTGGTTGAATGCATGATATTTTGCGATGAATATGGCGTATCAGCCATCTTGATACCATCTCCGTTGCAAAAATAAAGTCGGAAATATCATTTTTTTTTTTTTAAACTACACCACTTGAAGAGAAAATTTATGTTTTAAAATGATTTAATTAAATTTTATAAATATTATAATTAGTATATTAGAAGTTAAATCATGTAAATAAATAATAGTTTGCAAATAATATTAAATCTCTATTGAAAGAACGATGGTTATTATCTAAAAATTGCATTCACGTTTACCCTATTATTGACATTGAAATTGTTTAATATCACAATTGGAATTATGGGTTATATTCCAACCAGTCTTCGTAGTATTAGTTGAACATATATCAAAGGTATCTCGAAGAAACTTAAGTTCTTTTATTTGTCTATCTGAGGCACCTATTATACATTTATCATCTCCGATTGTTGGACAATAAATATGACCAGAATCACAAGATTGCCCGCAAAATGAAGGTTTTGGGTCACATATTTCAACATTAACCTTTTGTAAGGTATCGCTTATTATTGATGCTGCCAAATGGTTATATGTATTGGTTTTAATGGTATTATATACGTCATCATCTTTGTCTAGTAATTTATAATTATCCAACTTTTGATCAATAGTAAAACCAGCTAATATTGACTTGTTTGCAGCAAAAAAATTATTGTGTAATGTATCTTCAAAATGAAATTGGAGATTTTCACTTGCGGCTGATAGATATGATGAAATATCTGTGTAATGTTGCCCTTTGCTGGTAAATGATTGATGAACATCGTCCATTAAACTTGGAAGAAAGTATTTATTCACCATGCTAACCGTAAAAAATCCTACATTATCCATCCCTCTCGTATCCCCCGTATCTCTCTTTTTTATTGGGGAATCTGAAGCCTCGTACAAAGATGAACGGGTTTGTTGAATATTTGGGTTTCCATTTCTTTGATAGTATGAGGACCTTTCTCTCATTGCAGAAGTTTCGCACAATTCTATTTCTCCAGAGCAATCACCTATTGTATTTCTGAATCTGTCTAAATTGGTTGGATTTTCTTCCGTTTCACTTAACCAAGATCTTGCATCAAACCATTCTATCGATCCTTCAGTTGATGCTGATGCTTCTTCTGTTACAGCAGCAGTTTCGGCAAGAAGTGCATTGGTTTCCATCTCATTAAAAAAGAAACCTCCAACGCTACTTAAAATAAAATCACTAAAAAGATATGATCCAGCAACACCAAGACCAGCTATAGCAATAGTAATGGCTGCAACAATTAAAATACGTTTGAGATAGTTATGTTTAGGCGGTGGCGGCGGTGGTGGAATCAATTCTTTTAGATTATCGGGAGTCATTTTAACGCTTAATTCTTTAAGGGCATCATGGTACCCTCGATGGTGTCTCTCCCAATAATTGAATAGCTTGTTTGCCGAATTAATCATGTGATATGTAGCAACAGGATAACCTTCATGATTGAACGAGCTGCCTGAACCGAACTGAAGCGATGCAGCGTACGTTCCAACTTCATTACCAGTCAAATAATCGATGCATTCTGCTACATGTTCTGTTTTATTAATAGCCCATTCAGGTGAATCTGGGTGTTTACCTTCACTGCAATAATGGGCAGTTAGACTAGTTGGAAATGCATGAACTGGATTAGGTTTTTTTTGCTTATATGTAATTTTAGGGGTCGGAATAAGTTTAATCGTGTAATTACTTATAATACATTTGTAGTTGTTAAGGTTTTTTTCGGTATACGACGAAACCGTAAGATCATCCCTGTTTATTTTCACCATAAAGCTGAAGTTGCAATTATAGGTACATCCCCACATAGTGACGTTTACAGTTGTTAATGGTGGCTTATGACTTATAGTTCGAATTTCCCTGACCAAAAGAGATGTCGAATAAGAAATGCCATCATCGTCTATATGGAACGCCGCAAGGTTAGAAGGTACGACCTGGTCGCACATCTTAAAATCATGTTCTACAGTGATCCAATCAGCAAGAACTATCGTTGAAAAATTTATAAGAATATAATATAATAAACCTTTTTTCATTGTAAAAATAATTTTGAAATAATTTTTTTCCCTTGTCGAAAATTCGAAGACCTTATATATACTGTTTATAAACCCGGAAAAAAATTACAAGATAGGGAGATATTCCTTTAAACCATTTCGATATCCAATCCTTTCATTCAACAATTAAGAAAATGTTGTTAAAATCCTTTAAGTTTACGATTTTCATATCGAAATTCTTCATTTGGTTTTTTTTTTTTTTTATTATGTTTAATTGTAACTATCGATCTCATTTATTTAATCAAATACAATGCATATTTATCACCAATGAATTCTGCGTTGCTGGCCACGTACGTTTCACAAAAATTGAACATTAAAAAAATTCGAACACAAAAAAAATTGAACATAAATTAAATAAATTATTGATTTTTATTATAAGTCCTGTTATGCTGAACGGTTACCGTTCCCTAGTTTATATACTGTATGGGTATTATACAAGACGGTTAGCAATGTAGGTAAGACGAATAGGAGTAGAGTTAATTAGGGTTAGTTGAGTATGAAAAAAATGTAACTCAACATCATATCACGTGATATACGACTAAACTACTATTCGTATCACCCTAGCAATGTCCATACTTGTATGAAAAAAAAACCATACCATACATTGCTTGCTAACCGAACTGTACAGGTTTGCTATATTCTCCCGAAATCCAGTTTAGGAGACGTCCCTAAAGAAAAAATAAGAAAGGAATGAAACCGATCGGATAAAATAATGAAATGCCAACCTTAATTACAGTTTTGTTTATAATGACTTAGTTTGGAACTGGAGTCTAGACCGGAATTTGATAAATGATTTTTTTTTTTTTTTCTTTTAAATCAGGACCGAAATCGTGTTAACTGAAGAGACATCCATAGATTATTCCCCTGTATGAAAATTCTTGTACTACACTGAGCGGCTATGCACAGCCCTTTCAAATATAATTTATTTATTTATTTTTTTTTTTTTTCATTTACATTCAAAATGATAAAATTTCTATCCTTAAAAAAAATGGTTCGTAAACAAACAGCTAAAAAAAAAAAGTTGTTGAAAATCCCAAAACACCAACTACACCAGAACCTATAAGTGATAATAACGATATTTCAACATCACCAACTTTTACTTCAATAGAACAAGGAAATGCGACAATATGGTCTTCGTCATTTTCTTGGGATATACAAGCAACTTCCGAACTTGATGCAGAATCTACAAGCAACATATGGGAAGAGGATCATAAAAATTCCGATCAATTATATATTACAAAAAAATAATGATGTACTAGATAATAAAAATAATCATAAAGGCTCTAATGAAGTATCTAATTCTGAAAACTCTGATTATGTTTAGGATAAGACAATTTTCCTTCAAAAGGATTATCTAATGAATTTGGTGAATTTATCAATCCTTATATAAAGCTTGATAATGAAATGATTTTGAATAATCAAGAGCTAAATGATTCATTTAATCAATGTGAAAATGTGAAATCGGAGAAATTTGTTGTAAATGAGAAGGAAGATGATGATTTTGGTGTTTTTGAATGTAGTGAAGGAAGTAGTTTTGATGAATTTGGTGAATTTAAGAGTGAAGACAAATGATTTTATAATTATCAAAGAAACGAACAATCTATTTATGATGATTTTGATGATGCTGAAATGGAGAAAAAATTGAAAGTATCAATGTTATTACTAAAGAAAATCATAATTCGGAAATCCAAATGAACCACCTTAGATTCTTTACAGAAACTTAGTTTTCTTAATACGCAGTAACTATATAGTAAATATATAGTTACTATCTTACTTAGTAGTAGCTTAATCGCAGCCTAATAGGTAAGGAAACAAAGTTTCTTTAAAGTTCCTTAGATTTGGATCATAACATGGTAAAATATCAAATTTTCTAAAATAATAACTTTTATTACAATTTAATTTTTAAAACAACACTAATTTTTAAAAAAAAATTTCTCATAAACAGTCTATAAAAAATTCCGTTGCTAGATGGATTGCTGTCTTGGATAAAATTTATAATTTACAGTATGAGATAGTCACAATAACAAAGTAAAACCCGTATCCATAGAAGATCTTGTATATAATTCACATAATTCACATGAGTAAGTCCTTTGTTGGAAAAAAATTTTTTTTTTGTCCAATGTTGACTAATTCTTTTTGATCCATTAGAATGATGAATGCTAACTTGAATTGGAGTTCGTTTATAGAACTTTGGAGTGATCAAGGATGTGTTATTGGATTTACATGGTGTGGTTCGCAAATTCAAAAATCATTTTTGGAATCAATTAATTCTTTTCTATGATCAAAACGTTCCAGGCAGTGATTTATTTAATGATAAACTAACATTATCATCATCACTCGATCAAAATACTCACGATGACGATATACTAACGTCATGCTCATCAGCTGAACAACATGGGGGGCGGTCAGTAGAAAAGGGGGAAGTCCACTTTTTAGTCAAAATTTTTTTATTGGCTCACTCTGTTGATCATGGTCATGTGAACAAAACTAGCTTAATAACTAAAATTACTCAAAATTTGTAGATTTCCCCTTTTCTATTGACCGCCTCCCATATACTCATGATTACAAAAAAGAACAAGAGAAGAATTCAACAGAAATACCTAATAATAACACTGATAACACACAAGGACAAGGAGCTCCTATCAAGTCGAATAATATTGATCAAGGTGTAGATTTGAATCGAAATTCTTGGATAACTATGTCAGATCTTTCATTTTTGGAATCATTATCTTCTAGACCATCTAGTGTATCCAGCACCAAA